GAATCATAGTCCTGGGTTCCCTTCTGTAGCCTATGATCTGTATGTCCTATGACTCTGGTATGTGGTGTGTTCAGTAATGGGGCCTGACCACCACGTTCTGGAGACTAACTAAGAGTAACAGCAATAGCCTGTAATGGATAAGAGGAGCAAGTTTGTCAAACCCTACTGACCAATAACATGAAAAAAGCCACCCATACCTGATCCTGAGCTTTTTATTTAATAGTTGTATTAACTAACTTTCTGTTGCTGTGATAAAATGCCATAACTAAGGCAATTTAATGGAGGAAAGGGTTTACTTCTTATGGTTTCAGAGGGATATGAGTCCATCATGGCAGGAAGGCATGGTACTAACAGCAGGAAGCTAAGACATCACCTCGTGAACTGCAAAGATGCAGGGGAGCAAGAACTGGAAGTCAATTGAGGCTATGAACTCTCAAAGTCTGCCCCCAAGTGATGTACTTCCTCCAGCAAGTCTGTACCACCTCCTCAAACAGCTCCACCAACTTGGGACCAAGTATTCAAACAACCAACCTATAGAGAACATCTCTCATTCAATATAATAACCTGTCCTGTCTGGGGGCAGCATTGTTCGCTCTCATTAAAGGGTAACTCCATTTTAACCCATAGAAGGCAGGAAACTAGTAAGACACCATCGGAGGTATATGAAAGGATGAAGGAGAATAATTAACTAGGAAAAGTTAAGGAGGGTATGGGTGGGAGGGCAGGATAGAGGAGGGAAAAGTTACTAACAGTAAAAACCTTTGAAAATGTAGAAACCACCTAAAATGTGTGTGTGTGTGTGTGTGTGTGTGTGTGTGTGTGTGTGTGTGCTCACGTGTGCATGCTTGTATGTGGATGTGTGTTTGTACATGAAATAGACTTATCATTCACACACTTTACAACTTGATTTTTTAGCTAATCCCACAGTATACATATTCATTTATTTGATTTTTTGTTGATAAACTCTGATTTTTTCTTTTTATTATAACATCACACAAATATCTTTGTGTATAGCTTGTTCTTATGCATATGCATATATTAATAGGATACTTTCCCAGAAATGGAGTTGCTGGAAAGATACGGTCAGGAAAACTCAAAAATTATATTTTTATCACAATTGGCATATGCAACAAATATGTAAGCCACAAAGAACAATGTTTCACACTGAATTCCCATGATCTTAACATCTTTAAAGGCCTGTAAACAATGGAAACGATGAGAAAAAGGCTTGACATTCATTCCTAATGAATGAATACAACAGTGGAAGGAAGTAATTTTCATATAATTCTCCTTTGAGCTGTAGGCTTTGTAGAAAGGAACTATGAAAGATCAAGAAGAGGTCTAAAGGACAGGGATGACAATGGGAGAGAATAATGGAACAAGTGACGTGAAAGTGGGAGAGACTTTGGGGCAAGAGACATAAATAATATAACAAAACACAATAACAGATGTGTATGAAAATTTCACAATGAGCCAGGCATGGTACTGCACACATTTAATCCCAGTGCTCTGGAAGCAGGAGAAGGAGGATCTCTGTGAGTCTGAGGCCAGCCTAGTCTACAGAGTGAGTTCCAGGACAGACTCCAAACTACACAGAGAAACCTTGTCTCAAAAAACAAAAACAAACAAACAAAAAGACTAAGAAGAAAAGAAAGATTACACTTAATTAAAATTAACAATACACAGCCTGTAAGGCTATTTTGGAATTGCATTATATTTCTAGACGAATCATTATCATGAGCTATATTTTAAATAGCTCATGGACACTTGTGGCCTCTTCAAGCCATTTTCAGTGGCTTTTGTGATTACTAAAATAAGTCGGGGCTGGGGATTTCACTCAGAGATAGAGAACCTGCCCAGTTTGCACAAGGCCTTACTTAGCTCAACCCCAGCATAAGAAATAAATGATAGAAGTGACTGAGAACGAATAGATAGCACAAGCATTACAAGTAGTGATCCAGTCCAGGCTTGTGGGTGGTGGGTATGGGGAAGAAAATGGCTGAGGCTGAATGACTGTAAAGTATTCTCTGAATCACACTAGATCACCCCATTGTGAAGATATTTGTCAATGATGGTCTTAGTTACTTCTCGTTTCCATAACTGAGTACCTGGCAAGAAACAGCTTCTATGATAATAAGCAAAAAGGTTTATTTTAGCTATGTCTTGAGGGTGTAATCTCTCAAGGTGGGGAAGGTACAACATCTGGAGCAAGAGGGCCACTGCTTGCTCACATCTGAGTGGAATCAGAGGAAAAGGAAGAAGAGGAAAGGGAATGCTCTGTCTTGGTTCTTTTTCCCTTTTATTGGGTCTGAATCCAAAACCATGAGATGACGTCACCCATATTCAGGATGAATCTCTCTTCAGTTAATCCTTCTTGGAAATGCCCTCATAGACTTGCCTGGTGGTTAATCTCCTGCATAATTTTAAATCCAGTCAAGCTGACATCAGACATTAGCCATCAAGGTGACTACCTGAACATCTGAATAATGGCTATTATGTCAAGCCCTCTCTATTGGAGTCCTAAGAAGAGTGTTTGGTGAAAACCTTACAGAGTGTATTAAAATAATATTTTGCCTTAGAGAGAAAAATAGTAAAATATGATTTATTCCTGTCAAAACCAGATACATCGAGAATGAAGGCAAACCCAGGCCTCAGAGACTGTACAAAATCTGTGAATCAATTTAATGTTAAGATAACCCATTATTAGAACTGGGTTGTCACCAGTCACAAAAAGCTTATTCTCATGAATTTGGGCCATCTGTGTCCATTCTTTAGTTTTGGGTTGATACTCTGGCAATTATTCACTTTTTAACCTTCATCAAACAAGTGCAAGTATATGATGGAAAACCATTGAATTCCTGGGTCACTTATAAGCACAGTAATTAATTCATTGATGTGAGTGTGTATATATGATTAAGCAAATTTAGCTGAATAAATTATCTAATTAACTAAATTATGTTACCCATAACTGAACAAAACAGAGGTGTGTGTGTGTGTGTATGTGTGTGTGTATGTGTGTGTAGAGGTGGGAAGGGTATTGTGCATGTGTGTATTTAATTTCTCCATGCTGGTAAAATTCATGTAATTTATATGAAAGGCCTAGAAGTAAGCTGGGTCTGGTTGCATAAACCTGTAATACTTACTCAAGAAGCTGGGGGCAAGAGGATCACAAGTTCAAACCCTGCCTGGGCTATAGAGTGAGTGTAGTGACATCTTGCCTTGCCAGTGAACTTGTTTGCAGTAGTGGTCACACCCTTTGGGCATGGTTTCAGGTGCAGACTTTACTCATTAAGGCAGAGGAGAGGCTGGCTGGCACTCTCTTGGGTTCAGTCCCTACAAACACACACATGCACACACTCATGCACACAAGCATGCCATGCTATGTTGGAAGGCCATGCTCAAACCAAAAACAGAGGAAGGGGTGGGGCATGTCTCACAGTAGAGCCCTTAGTCAGCAAGCTCCGAACCCTGCATTTGGTTTGGGAGAGTACTGAAAAGCAGCAATCCAAGTGTGGTCAAGCCCCAGCTCTGCCTTTTCCTCTCTGTGAGACCTTCCAGGCCAGCTCCCTTGTGTGCTTCATTCTGAAGCCCTCACAGCTTGGAAACGGAGAGAAAATCCCCAGGAGGTGTTAGAGTGCAGAAATCATTACAAATCTCACGTAACTAACCTTTTTTAGAGAGAACTAGAGATCTAACCCTTGTGATAGCAAGGAACGTTGTGTACAAATTCTCTTATTTATGTATTTCTGTGTTGGGGAAGATGCCAGTACTAGGGAGTCTCAGAAGCCAGAATATACATAGGCTCCTCTCAAAGAATTCCATTTTCATAGATATTTTTGAAGAAAAAATATAAACATAAATCAAATAAAGTAAAAAGTTGCATGAAATTTTAGTTTAAAACATGCCACTGGCATAAGTTGGGCTTCTTTGCCCAACTTCCTGACCCCTATTTATTTATCTGCCATGAGAAGTATTTGATAGAAAACTTTCTTAACTGCTTAAATTTTTTTTTTTACTAATGAGAACAAAAACTAACTTTGAATGGGGTTTCAATTATATTCACAAATAGATTGTACACAGAAATGGACTGGTAGAAAAGTACTGTTCTACCATCTGTGTGCCTCCATACACTGACAAGCAACCCTCAAGAGCATATAGTTAACCAGAAGGAAGGACTGTGGTTAACTTGGAGAAACTGAATGTTATAACTCAAAGCCTGTACAGCAACATCTGTGATAATACACCACTAACTCACAGTTCTTCTTCTGCTTTTCTTTGGGTTTTGGTAAAGACCTTCTGTCCCCTAGGCAAACAGGAGTCAAACTAGGCCAAATGGCTTCCCTGTCTACCACCTCCTAGGATAGAACTCTAAGCAGACTCTGGAAGTACTAGAGGTGCTTTAGTCTCCAGAGAGGAGAGCCCTGGAGAAGCCAAGGATGTCTCCATTGTATACGTCTGTGTGAGTCCCTCAAGTAGAGCTGGTGCCTAGCTCCACTTTTGAACCTGAAATGGCTCCTGAAATCCCCTCCTACCCTATCCACCCCACCCATCCCAGCATTGAAATGATGGAACTTTGAAGTAGAGGAGACTAGTTAGAGGAAGTCAGACGATTGGATTAGTTGAAAGCCATGTCCAGTTGGGTGGCTCCCTTCTCTCTCTCCTTCCTGATTGCCGTGAGGTGAGCAAGGCCTCTGCTACATGCTCATACCACACAACCAGCATTGCTGCCTCAGAAACCATGAAAACATTTCCTGCTGATTACCTGCCTGTCTCCTAGGTATTTCATTCTCCTGAGAGGAGGTAACAAGCTGTGCTTGTCAGACTCCTCAGCTTTTCCAAGGATTCTGTGGATCACTGTGAATTGTTCTAGTAAGTTCTTTCACACTTGGTCACTCTGTTCTTACTGCTTATAGTAGAAGTGTATAGTGTAGGCCATTAGCAGCTTTGTATAAAAACATCAACAATTATTTGATAAAACTAAATACTCTGTTCATGGGAAGTTGATTAAATGATAATTTTATTTGACATTATTTGCTTAGGTTGCAGACTAAAACACAAACTGTTTCAAAATGGGAAACACATCTATTGTTTCTTTTCTCCCGCATTTAAACTAATCTTAACCCTTATTTCATCTTCAAAAATAACAAAAAAAAAAAACATTTACAAAGGTGGCTTGCATATCTAAATGATGGCGCATTTCTGCTTAAGAGTGAACATTAAAAATCATTTTTCTAAACTGAAAACAAAGCTTATCTCTAATCTATTTCATAATCGTCATCGTCGTCGTCCATGCTGAGTCTGCTGCTGGAAGAGTCTTCCAGTTTTAATTTCTTCTTGTTCTCTTTGCTTTTCTCGTTCTGGTGTAAGTGATGCTCGCATTGCCTCACGATCTTCTTGGAAGACATCCAGCTCTCCCCTTGTCGCTCTGCTGGGGCCGCACACTGTCCTCCTTTCACGTCCGTACCCTTGGCCTTCAGTACCTCCCTAGCTCGTAGGACACTGCAGGTGCAGTTCCAGGGGTTTCCATCCAGGTACAGGTGCCTGAGGCGAGGCAGCCCCTCCAGCGCCTTGAGGTCTAAGGCGGAGATCTTGTTGTTCCTCAGGTTGAGAACCTGAAGCAGTTTGAGGTCCCTGAGCTCCCTCTCAGACATGTTCTGGATGGCATTGCCCTTGAGGTCCAGCCTAGCCAGGGTCTTAGGAAGCCTGCAAAGTTAAGAAACAGCATGAGAGAGGAGGGTGCTACCGTCAACCATCGTCCAAGGCAACACTTCTCTGTGCAGCTCCATCCCTTCTCAAGGTGGAAAACAAGCTGTTATGTTTTGAGGTATGAAATTACAAAATGATTTGCTTTTAAACTTTAAAACGTTCCTCTCCCAAAGATATACTAAAAGCTGTTGAGGAAATCATCAGTTGGTCCCATTTCAGAAACAATGTAATGAAATGTAGCAAGTTTAAATAATGCCATGACTCCAGCCAGGAAATAATATGAAAAATGAATAAAGATTTATTTTAAAGAGTAACGTTATTGAATTGAAATAGCAAAAAGCAATAAAACCTTAATGTCCAGTATTTTAGAAATTATAAAATAATGAGCTATTGTGTGATTATAAAATATTATCAAAAATTTAAAATACTAATTCTATAAAAAAACTTCTGTGACTCAAAAATCTTGACACTATTAAAAACTGATAAATCAATAAACTTAAAAAATTTTGCATCACAAAAGCTGTGTTCAAAGTCAAAAGACAAAAGAAGAGGAAGCCTCTGTAGCTATGTCACACAGTAATCACACAGTAAACATAGGAGACATCTTAAAGCTGAGACAAGATGATTTTAAAACAACATGGGAGACTACAGAGATGGCTCAGAATTTAAGAGCACTGACTGCTCTTCCTGAGTTCCTGAGTTCAATTCCCAGCAATCACATGGTGGTTCACAACCATCTGTAATGAGATCTGGTGCCCTCTTCTGGCATGCAGGCAGAACAGTATATACATAATAAATAAAATCTTTCCACAATGGAAAGTGGGCAGGAAAGAGGAAGTAGAAGCTCAATGCTCAAATTGTCCTCTATATATTTTAAATATTAATGTTTCTTTAGGTAAAAACCACTTTTTGATGTTTTGTACTGGGTACAGATATGACACTACACAATAAAAATTTCCAGCTCAGAAAAAAATCTGTACATATTAAAGATAATTCTTCTTTTCCTGACTTTCTCTGTAAATAACAATGAACTAGGTAAAATGGGTGCCCTGGGAGTGTATGGAAACCAGAAACTGTTTTATTAATTATAAGAAACTTGATAAAGATACTGGGCAGGACATGAAGACCTTTTATTTAAGTGTTGAAAAGATTTTAAAATTTTTAAAATAGATATAAGAAACAACATGCTATGTCTTAAAGGTAAATAATGGCCAGGTACCAGCAAGATGGCTTAGCTAATAAAGGTGCCTACTGCCAAGACTGACAACTTAATTCAATCCCCAGGACTCACATGATGGAAGGAGAAAACAAACTCTGGCAAGTTGTTCTCTGCCCTCCAAACATGAGCCTTGACATATGCTCCACATAAACACATACACATATGTAAATTTATGACTAGACTATGAGAAGTTAAGGGGATAAGTGAGTAGTTAAGGGAATGGGTGAGTAGTTAATGGGATGTTAGAGTAGTTAAGGGGATGGGTGAGTAGTTAAGGGGATGGGTGAGTAGTTAAGGGGATGGGTGGGTAGTTAAGGGGATGTTTGAGTAGTAAAGGGGATGGGTGAGTAGTTAAGGGGATGGATGAGTAGTTAATGGGATGGGTGAGTAGTTAAGTTGATGGGTGAGTAGTTAAGGGGATGGGTGAGTAG